GTTTTATAGAGAAGACTCTCAATGACGGCAGTAATAACAAAGTCTGAGAGACCTCGTGCGTCGTCCGAGGAAACACAGGCACTTCACCGCAGATCTGGGCCTGAACCCGGGGAAGCCTCACTGAACAACCATGCTCTCTTTCCCTCCTATGAAAAGTGGCCCCTATTTTTACCTATTTTTGATCACTGTAGGTAAGACTGACCAGTTTTGCTAGAAACAAGCAAGACCGGCTGGGTGCAATGGATCATACCTATAATCCCAGCACTTTGAAAGGCAGAGGCAGGCAGATCACTGGAGGTCAGAAGTTCGAGACCAGCCTGGGCACTATAGCGAAATCCCATCTCTACTAAAAATACAAAAATTAGCCTGGTGTGGTGTTGCATATCTGCAGTTCCAGCTACTTGGGAGGCTGAGGCATAAGGATTGCTTGAGCCTGGGAGGCAGAGGTTGTAGTGAGCCAAGATTGTGCCACTGCACTCCAGCCTGGGTGACAAAGTGAGACTGCGTCTCAAAAAAAAAAAGAAAAAGAAAAAGAAAAAGAAAAAAAAAAGCAAGACTGAGGTGAGTTCTGGGAAGAGGATTCTACTTTGTTTTTGTTGTTATTATTTTTGTTTTTTAGAGACATGAAATTACTCCAGGCTGGTGTACCATGATGCAAACATATGTGCTTGGGTGATCCTCCCACCTCAGCCTCCCGAGTAGCTGGGACCACAGGCGTGCGCCACCATGCTTGGCTAATTTTTTAAATTTCTTATAGAGACAGGGTCTCACCATGTTGCCCAGGCTGGTCTTGAACTCCTGGCCTTAAGCAATCTTCCTGCCTCTGTCTCCAAAAGTGCTGGGATTACAGTGGTGAACCATCAGGCCCAGCCTGGATTCTACTTTGGAAAATCTTTGCGAGTGAAGAAGAACAGGACAGAATGGATGAACTGGGATGAAATAAGTCAGTCTGGCAAGACACTCTCCGCTAAGAAGTGGGTAAAACTGCCACAGCAAGTTATCAAGAACGTGAAATAGCCGAACTCCCACAGCAGCTGGGATGGCAAGAGGGAAGCTGGGAGAGAATGCAGACAGCTCTAAAGAGGCTGCAGACTTCAGGAAGCGGTGCCTGGGTAGAGCAGGTTTATTAATCATGGATAAAACTGCTGAATAATTACCTACCTCTAAAAGCATTCGCGGGTTGGGTTTAGGTGCTTACAAAGTACTTTGTGCTTGGTCCCGGCCAGTACGTTAGTTCAAGACAGTTAATATAGATAAACACAAATGCAGTGAAGATGTGGTCAGTGTAACAATTACAAATGTAAAAAGCAAACACGGAAAAGGATTGCTGGCTGGGCACAGCGGCTCATGCCTGGAGTCCCAGGAGTTTGGGAGGCTGTCGTGGGTGGATCACTTGAGCCCAGGAGTTTGGGACCAGCTTGACCATCATGGTGAAACCCCAGCTCCACTAAAGTACAAATATTTGCTGGGCATGGTGGCACGCTCCTGGAGTCCCAGCTACTTGGGAGGCTGAGGCAGGAGGACCACTTGAGCCCAGAAGGCTGAGGCTGCAGTGAGTTGAGCTCGCATCTTCATCCTTCAGCCCAGGTAAGAGTGAGACCCTGTCAGAAAGAAAGAAAGAGAGAGAGAGAGAGAAAGAAAGAGAGCGAAGAAGAAAGGAGAGGCGAGGGATTGGTACAGGCAAGGCTTCTCATACACAGAATCATTTCCTCCCTCAATATCCCCAAAGTAACTACAACACTTAATGAAATCATTCAGATCCGAAGCACTGCTGAGAACATACTATGCGCCAGCCAGGGTAGTAGGTACGGGGGAGGGGAAGGTGAGTGCGGGAGAAGTAGAAGGTCTTCACAGAAGGCCTCGAAGAGAAGATGAGACTTGAACTAGGCCTTGAAGTCTTCCTAAGATCGGTGGGGCATGGAAAGCAGGCAGTCCTAATCACGTGCCACCCCTAAGGCACAGACGCAGTGAGGGAGACGCAGAGCAGGGGGCTGGCACACTATGCCCGAGGGCCAAATCTGGGTTTTGGTACATGAAGTTTTACTGGAGCCCAGCCCGACCCATCGGATTGTGTGAGCTGCTTTCTGCTTTCTTGCTCCAAGGGCAAACTGAGTGGTTGTGACAGAAACTGAGACCATATCACCCGCAAAGGCTAAAATATTTACTATCTGGCCCTTTCCAGAAAAAGTTGGCCAGCCCTGTCCTGTTATTCCAATGGAGTCTGTGCACTGGCAGCAGGGGCAGCCCTGGGCTAGGCAAGTCCCACCATGGACGTGGAGAACTGGAATCTGCCTTTTAAAGAGACCTCTGGCTATTCTTGTGCACAGGTGGTGGCGTGGGGGGCACTGAGCCTGAAGAGTTATGAGAAGTCTGCACTTACCGCATCTACAGACAGAGGAACGTGGTCAAGACTTTCCCACAGAGTAGTGACACCATCAAATCCGCCCTTACAACACCCCTCTCGTCAGAGTGTGACAGTAAGAAGCGCTGAGAGCAGAAAAGGGGTGGCAGTTCCTGTCACAACCCAGGCCAAAGACGACCCAACTAGGCAGGGCAGAGCTCAATCTTTCTTCCTAACCTCATCAGTGCTTCTAAGACGTTTCTAACAAATACAGGATCAGTTATACCGTATTAGGAAGTAGATAAATACTTGGTAACGAAAATATTGGTAATCATGTGTTTCCATGTATAGCAAATATATCTTGGTTGAGGCCATACCTCCGGACATGAATGCATACATGAAGACATTAATGGGGCATGAGGGATGCTGAAATGTGAAATGAGGATGTCATCAAGGGCTCCCTATTACATAGGCTATTTGAAGGTGTAATGTCTTACTGTGAGGACTTTTGTCCCCACTAAGTAAGTGTGAGGTTCTGCTTGATATTCAATTTTCCTGTGTTTTGGATGAATAAGCAATTTAAAGTTCAAAGGAAACAAAGCTGCCACTGGACTGCCACGCCAACACTGTGCCCTCTTCCAGCTCAGCTCGGCTTTGAAGTCACTGCTTACCATTCTGCCTCCTTAAGAATCTAGAAAAGTTTGACAGGGTTGTTCGTGGGATTCAGTGTGCTTTAAAGGAATGACAGCAATATAGATAAAAATAGATGGGTGAAGAGGGGAAATTCCTTTCTTAGATGCTTAGGCTTAATACTTCACATTCATTACATTAGCAGATACAATGCAAAAGGAAAAAAAAAGAGTGTATTTCTGCTTAGAGAAATGCAACATAATTAAATTTAAAAATCTCAAGTAAGAAGAAGAAAAAGTATAGGACACCAAATTTGTGTTGAGAAGAATCTGTGTGGAGATTCATTAAAAAAAGCCTTAAAAAGCTCAGGATTTCAGTACAATGCTTAATGGCACTTAAGCAAAAATAGTAACTAACATTTATGAAGTACTCACTATGGGTATACACTGTTTATAAATGTCATAATACAAATTGTCTCATTTAATCCTCAAAACACCTGATATTAGCTCTATTTTAGAAATGAGAAAACCAAGGCACAGAGAAGTTAAGTAACTTGTCCAAGGTCACACAGCTAAATAAGAAGTAAAGGTTCCTCTCCAACAGAAGCTGCTCTCTAGTCTCCTCCTGCCTCCAGGTTAATTTGCAAAAATTGTAAATGTAAAAGACTCTCATTATTACTAATACAAGAGACAAAACCCTGGTGATTTAGGCATTCAAAGTCTTCTGGAATGGGCACACCATTCCACCCTGGGGACAGTGGCCAAGATTTGGCCTGCAATATAATAAAACTGAGGAACAGTGAGATGGGGTCGAAAGAAGACCCTGGATTATTGTTCTGTAGGATGAAATGCAAATTAAGTCCAGTAAAATTCTGAAATGCATCGTTTGTTACCCATAAGTATATACAAACACTTTTAATGACAAGGACTGTGGTGAATGCATTATCTTCCAGCTGACATGTTTGTGAAATGCTGCAGTGAATCTAAAAGATAACAGGCACCCGGCTAATGCTATTGGGTTAACAGGTTCATGCTGGCTGTGCAGGCTTACTTAAGTAATTGCCTGACTGTGAAGGAACAGAGGTATTAAAGTTGGCACAAGGGACAGCATCCGCATGGCACATTCTTTGTTTCGAGAGCTTAATTTTATCAATTCTCCCGGAAAAAAGAGAAGTGCTAAATAAATAATGGAAGCACACAAGACAGTGTGAAGGCCTTTTCAAGTCCTCGAATTGTCAAGCATCTTATATAAAGTTCTTTCCCGACTTTGAGCTCATCACATTTCATTTTACATATTAATTTTGCATAAGAGCAAGCTCATCCCCTTCAAATGTTAACAGCTTCCAAATAAGATCCTGGTGAAAGCTCATCACATTCCATTTTAAATATTAATTTTGCCAAAGAACGAGCTCAGCCCTTTCAAATGTTAACAGCCTCAAAATAAGATCCAAGTTATTTACCTATAAGATACAAGAAGGCAAGAGAGGGGGGAAAAAACCAACCAAGTGAGAGGAGAGGCGACAGAAATGACGGAGTGAGAGGGTCGCCCGAACTCCACACAGATTCAATAAGCCTCTTCAGGTTTTCCTATTTAACTTTCCCCATTAAAAAAGAAGACACACCCTACCGGCGGTATCTTCACAGGCACAGAGAAGGGCACCAGTCTCCGATTAAGGGTCTGACTGTGGCTGTGATCCGGGGTGACAAGCACAAACAATTAGCGCTGCCTGACACCTTGCTCTAATTCGAGTTCGGAGAGTAAGGACAAAAGGGCCGCCCATCCGTGCGGATGCCGGGCTGCGGGCTGCGCTCTGGGAGCCCGGCTCGCGTCCCCTCCGCGGACGCCCGGTGCCCCACAGCCCGAGCTCGCCAGCGCCCGCGTCCCCGCCCCGGTCCCCGCCCCGGCCCCAGCCTCCCTCAGGACGCAGCTCGCCGCGGGGCAGCGCCGGCGACCGGGCGCGGGGTCCCCGGGGGTCCGGGTCCTCGGGCGGCCGGGCCGTGGGAGCGCCGGGCGGGCGGGGCGCACTCACCTTCGTCCTCGAACTCCAGCTTCTCCAGCATGCCGGCTTCCGCGGGTCCCGGGGCCGCCGCCAGCGCCGCCTGAGGGGGAGGAGGAGGACAGCGATCAGCATGAGCCGCGGCGCTCGTCCCCGGCCGGCGGGCTCGCGGCCGGCCGAGCGCTGGGGCCTGGCTCCGCCGCGCCGCCGGGAGGAGGGGCCTGGCGGGGGACGCGGGCGGCGGGGGCCGGGGGCGGAGCGGGCGCGCGGCCCCCACCCGCCAGAGGCCGCCGCCGCAGGTGGCGCGGCCGCGGCCCGCGTGCCCCTTTGCGAGTGGGACGCGCCGCTCCCCCCCCGCGCCTTGGTACGGCCCGCCCGGAGGAAGCGTGGGAAGGGACCCGGGAGCCCGCGGGCCGCCGCGCCTGGGCTCGGGGCGCCCCCCTCCGACCGCGTCCCGCGTCCTCCTTGCTGCGCGGCCATTGGCAGAGGCCCGCGGCCCCCGCCCCCCCGCGCGGCTCACCTTCCCGCACCCGCGGCAGCGCTCGGCAGGCTCCACCTGCTCAGGTGTGGGCTCCGCGGCGCGGGGGCGGGGAGAGGGGCCGCCGGCTAGGGGAGCCGTTCTCGCTTTCCTCTCCCCTTTCCAAATTTTAGATGTAACTGCCCATCCTCGGCCCTCTTAACAAAAATCGTTCTGTGGGCTGCACGTATTGCAAATGCACGTTGTCGCTATCAATTTTTTTTTTTCCAGCATGGAACTCCTAATTCGTGTCCTCTCTTTGCGACCGAGTGTTTTCTCGGTTGGGGAGCCGCTGCCAAAAACGCACACACCCTAAATCTGGCCCCGGCTGCTCAGGATCTGGGTATCTGAGACTCTACTAAGGCCAACTCAGGTTGGCAGGCGGCGCGGCCGGCAGCCGCCAGCTGCCCGGAAGTGCAAGGCGGGCTCTGAGGTGACCGAGGTCCCCGGCCTCGCGGCCCATCCCTGCAGAGTGCACGGGCCCTGCCAAAGAGATTAGCTCCAGAACCCATCAGGGCCGAAAGGAGCTTGGTCCTCAAGCTGGGCCTGAAAGAGGAAGTCCTGAAGTCGCCTCTCGTTTTGCTTTGTCATCTCACTTGCACCAATCCCTAAGTCTTAAACCCCTTAAAAAAAGAAAAGGGGTGGGGAGAGAAAAAGAAAACAAAACCAAGATGTTTCATGGTAAAAAGCTACCATGCATCATACTGCATAGTGAAAGGCTGCTTTCCCTCCAAGTTCGGAAACCAGGCCAGGGTGTTTGCTTTCACTAATCCTGCTCAACATGGTTCTAGAAGCACTAGGCCCTGCGATAAGGCAAGAAAAGGAAAGAAAAGGCATACAGATTGGAAAGGAAGAAAACACCGACGCAGATAACGTAAGTTGTCGATGTACAAAATCCCAGAGAATCTGCAAAAGAAAAAACTCTCCTGCAACTAGTGAGTTCAGCAAGGTCATAGCATACAAGATCAACACACAACAATCGATCACATTTCCATAAACTAACAATGAACACATGGAAAAATATTTAAAACAATATCACTTATTAATACAATCACTGCAAAGAAAATTAATACTTAGGCGTAAACTCAAGAAACCATGTATAGTATCTGTATGCTGAAAATCACAAAACGTGGATGAGAGAAGAGCTAATAAATAGAGAGACATTCCCGAGATGGAAGGCCCAGCATGGTAAAAATGACAGTTCTTCCCCAGATTCACGTTTTGGTTTAACGCAATGGCTACCAAATTATGGTTTTTTTAGACATCGATAAGCTTATTCGAAAAATTATATGGAAAGGCGCAAGCCCTAGAATTCTTTAGATAATCTTGAAAGGGAGGAAACAATATTACAGCAAACTATATAGCTACAGTAATCAAGACAATCGTAGTGGCAGAAGAATAGATATAATAATCAATAGAAATAAATAGGAAACCCAGAAATAGACCCGTGAAAACCAAAAGCGAATCCTAAAAGGTCACATACTGTATGATTCCATTTATATTTTTGATGGAGGTGTAACAGCAATAGAACTAGAGTATTTGGATATCAAAAGGTAAAAAGGCAAAAACAAACCTCAACCTAAGCCTTGCGTTTTACACAAAAATTAGCTCAAACTGGATTGTGACCTTAAAAACAAAATAAAAAAAAATATGAAACTTTTTGGAGAAAAATCTTTGAGACCTGGGGCTAGGCAAAAGTTAGACTTGACACCAAAAACACAGCCCATAAAAGGAAAAACTGATAAATGGGCCTCAGTACAATTAAGAATTTTTGCTCTGTGAAAGACTCTGTTAAGAGGATGAAAAGACAAGCTATGCATAAGCACTATCAATATTAAACAGAAAAAGGAGAAAATAATCCAATTAGAACACAGGCAAATTACACAAAGATATTTCACCAAAAAAGATATACAGATGGCAAATTAGTACATGAAAAGATGTTCAAAGTCATTAGCCATTACGTAAACGCAAATTAAAACCACAATGAGATACCACTACACAAATGTTAAAATGGCTAAAACATCAAAAGTAACAACACCAAATACTGGCGAGGATGTGGAGATATGGGATCACTTCTGTACTGCTGATGGGAATACAAAATGGAACCACCACTCTTTTTTTTTTTTTTTTTTTTTTTTTGAGACAGGGTTTCCCTCTGCGGCCCAGGTTGGAATGCAGTGGTGTGATCTCAGCTCACTGCCGCAACGTCCGCCTCCTAGGTTCAAGTGATTTTCCCACTTCAGTCTCCTGAGTAGCTGGAATTACAGGCACACACCACCACAGGCCAGTTAATTTTTGTATTTTTTAGTAGAGACGGGGTTTCACCATATTAGTCAGGCTGGTCTCGAACTCCTGACCTCAGGTGATCCTCCTGCCTTGGCCTCCCAAAGTGCTGGGATTACAGACATGAGCCACTGCGCCCAGTCAGGAACTATCACTGTTAAAAATAATTTGGCGGCCGGGTGCGGTGGCCCACGCCTGTAATCCCAGCACTTTGGGAGGCCAAGGCAGTTGGATCATGAGGTCAAGAGATCGAAACCATCCTGGTCAGCATGGTGAAACCCCGTCTCTACTAAAAATACAAAAAAATTAGCTGGGCATGGTGGCACGCGCCTGTGGTCCCAGCTAGTTGGGAGGCTGAGGCGGAGCAATCACTTGAACCCAGGAGGCGGAGGTTGCAGTGAGCCGAGATTGTGCCACTGGACTCTAGCCTGGTGACAGAGCAAGACTCCGTCTCAATAATAATAATTTGGCAGTCTTTTATAAAACTTAACATGCAACTACCATATAGCACATCAATTGTATTCTTGGGCATTTATCCCAGGGAAACGAAAAGTTAAGTTTACCCAAAAACTTGCACATGAATGTTCATATCAGCTTTATTTGCAACAGTGCAAACTGGAAATAACAGATGTTGTTCAATGCGTGAATGGTGAAGCAGGCTACAGTAGGTTCATCTATACCGTGAAATACTACTCAGCAAGAAAAAGGAGGGAACTATTGACACGTACAACAACTTGGATAGATCTCCAGGGAATTATGCAGAGGGGAAAAAACCAATCCTAAAAGGTCACATACTGTATGATTCCATTTATATTATACTGTTGGAATAACAAAACAGTCAAAATGGATAACAGACAAGGGGTCCGAGGCTGGGGTATTGGCCAGAGGTGCCTATGGTTATAAACGGGTGATGTAAAGGATGTAAGGGTACCTGAACTGTTCTACATCTTGACTGTACCAATGTCAATATCCTGCTTGTGATATCACACCGTATTTTTCCCTATGAGCCAAGTCAAGCTGATTTAATTCTATGGAGGAAATGACAAAAAAAAAAATCTTTATTGAAATATAATTCACATACCATAAAATAACTCGCCCATTTAAAGGGTACAGTCCAGAGATTTACGACGTACTCAGAATTGTGCAACCAGCTAAGTGTACATTTTCCTTATCCCAAAGAGACAGCTCGTACCCATTGGCAGTCACATCCCACCTGCTCAACCCCTACACCCATCCCTAGGCAGCCATTTGCTGTCTCTATGGATTTGTCGATGCTGAATATTTCTCATAAATGTAACTAGGTGGTCTTTCGTGGCTAGCTTCTCTTTAGTGTCGGGGCCCATTCACGTTGTCACATGGATCAGCACTGTGTCTCTGTTTACTGCGGAATGGTACTCTGTTGTCCGGGCACACACGTTGTTTATCCTTTCGTCAGCTGATAGGCACGCAGGTGGTTTCCACTTTTTGGCTGTGGTGAAAATGCACCTATGAACATTCCTGTGCAAATATCTGTGTGGACATGTGCTTTCATTTCATATACCCAGGAGTGGAATTGCTGGGCCATAGAGGAACTTTATATTTCATATATATATATATATATATTTTTTTTTTTTTAATTTTATTTTTGAGACAGAGTCCTGCTCTGTTGCCCAGGCTGGAGTGTAGTGGCATGATCTTGGCTCACTGCAACCTCTGGCTCCCCAGTTCGAGTGATTCTCCTGCCTCAGCCTCCTGAGTAGCTGGGACTACAGGCGCCCGCCACCATGCCCGGCTAATTTTTGTATTTTTAGTAGAGACAGGGTTTCACCATGTTGTCCAAACTGGTCTTGAACTCCTGACCTCAAGTTATCCGCCCACCTCAGTCTCCCAAAGTGCTGAGATTAAAGGCATGAGCCACTGCTCTCTCTATGGCCTCTCTACGTTTAATATTTTGAGGACCTGCTGAACTGTTTTCCAAGGTGGCTGTACTACTTTACATTTTTACCAGCAATGTCTGAGGGTTCCAATTTCTCCTGTATTGTTTAGTTTTGCACTGGGGGAAAACTAGGCAAAGGGTGTAAAGGATCTCTCTGCATTATTCCTTACTACTATATGTGAATATACGATTATCTCAAAACAAAAAGTTTAATTTAAAAAAGAAGTTCGGCAGTGCACAGTGGAAGTATCTGTCATTCTATTTGTAAGTCTATGCTTTTTTTTCTTGCAATAATGTTAGTATAATTTTTAAAAGCTCTTGTCAGTGTTTAATGATGAGAAATGCCATCAATTTCACCCGTCATCCCAATGGGTTGTTTCTTGGGAGG